TGTTAACCAGGGGGACATAACCTCTGCACGGGGCGGAAGACAGCCTGCGTCCCAGAGAACTTTGCAAAGACAATCAGAAGGTAGACATGATGACTACAGGACGGATGACTGTGGACCCCGACAAAGAAGACGCCCAAGAAAGAAGGGGCCCCGGTGGCTAACGGGCTCAAATACAGCAGCAGAGCCTCGCAGCCATTTTTACACACTGACCCTTGTGCAACCTGCCCTTCGGGGAGCAGCCGGCCCGGGACCACCGGCCTGCACTGCCCCCCTGCCTGCCTGGCCCTGCATCTGAGCCAGCCCTTAGAAGTTCTTCCTGGCGTCCATTTCAACCAATAGGACTGAGGCTCTCCCCATCCAGTCAGAGCTGAGCAGCTCTGACCAACCAGTGTGGCTCTACCCTGACCCATCAGGACAGTGCCTCTTGGACCAATCACACTTTGAGGACTTGGAGTCCTCATTTGCATAAGAACGAATCAATCAGGGGCCAGGGGTGGGGGTTCTGTCCAGGAAGCCACTTCCCCTCTGGCTCTGGGAGCCCCTTTCCCTTTCCACCCAGCGCTCGCTGACCAGTGGCCCCGGCTGAGCCGAACCAGACGATGTCGCAGGGAGCAGAGCAGCCGCGCCCGCGGGCCCGGCCCAGGGTCACTGTCCTCACAGCCGAGCGGTATCACCGTTGAGCTGTTTTCTCTGAAGAAAGTCTCCTTCTCCCTCGCACCCCAAAGTGGGGATTCCTGTCGGCACTGAATTGACACCAATGACCACTGCTTGACATGACGACTGGACTGAGAATCGCACCCGGAATGACCACCTAAGGGGGGCCTTAGACGGAGCCCCACGTGTCAGCTTGGCTGCACCGATGCTGATATAACTGAGCCCCTTCCCTTTCTCAACCACCCCTCACCTTCGTCGCCATGGGAACCCTGTTTAGGCCTCTGCCCGAATCAGAGCTTACCCAAGAGCTATTCCCTCTGGACCTCAAATAAACGCTCGCTGCCTCTCACTTTGGCCCTTTCTTTTCAGGGACACATATCGTCTCACAAGGCGTTGCAAACACACACGCATGTGCTGTCTGCCGATGGCCGAGCCGGAGCTGCAGGTGTGTTGTGGGAAGGCCGCCAGGTGGAAGGGGAGCTGCTAAGCTCTGGGCGCCATGGTCGGAGCCACCTCTCCAGTGACTCCTCCCGCCAGCCATCGACCTGCAACAATGCTTCTAAAGATTTTCTAAAATGGACTTTTAGAGAGAGAGGGAGAGAGAGAAGCATCGATGTGAGAGGGAAGCATCGATGTGATTGGCTGCCTCCTGCACGCCCCCCACTGGGGATCAAGCCTGCAACACGGGCATGTGCCCTGACTGGGAATCGAACCAGGGACCTTTAGGTGCATGGGATGAAGCTCTACCCACTGAGAAACACCAGCCAGGGCTAAAGCATTGCTTTTAGAGGCTAATTATAGTGCACAGCCAGGAATGCAATGGAGAAGGTGCCACTGTTCTTCACAGATGCCGGACGAACCCTTCCATGAAACAGGAGAGGGGAGCTTTCTGACAATGGCCTGCTTTCCCAAGTATATTTGATATCACATGATGGCCCAACACACACCACACACCACACACACACACCCCACATACCACACACACACCCCACATACCACACACACAGGCCTGAAACAAAAGAACGCAAAGCAACGTGTACCCGTAACACATGAGACGCATTCTGATGTTTCCTGCTCTGTTTCTGTTGGATTCTGTGGTCCTCGGAGAGACAGCCACCCCGGCCCAGCAGCCGCGGCAGCAGGTGCACTCACCAGGGCGAACTCCTTGTTGAGGGCCATCTGCTCCACCAGCGAGGACTCGTTGTGGAAGAGGTGGGGCTGCATGTGGCTCCACATGTGGGGGAACCACCAGAACTCGTCCACCGACCTGAGCAGCAGGTCGTCACCCGCGTCCTCCTCCTCGGTCCCTGGAAAACACCCGGTGAAAGAGGCATCAGTGAAATTTCCCATCGGCTCAAAGGTCATGATTGTCAGAGTGTTGCTGTTCTTCTCACTACAGACACATAAATCCAAGTGCATGTTGTTCTAATAAAAAAAAAATAAAATTCATGGTCTACATTACATCAGAAGTCAAGGTTTGGGTTGGCGTGAGGTAGGGTAGGTTTGGTGGGCCCTGGGGCAGTCCGTGGTCCACAGTTCTCCTGTCTGTCACCCTTCATTACACTGTCCATCACCCACAGTTCTCCTGTCTGTCACTGTCCTAAGTCTCTATCATCCACAGTCCTGTCTGTCACTGTCCTGGGACTGTCCCTCGGCCACAGCTCTCCTGTCTGTCACTGTCCTGGGACTGTCCATCACCCACAGTTCTGTCTGTCACTGTCCTGGGACTGTCCATCACCCACAGTTCTGTCTGTCACTGTCCTGGGACTATCTATCTCCCACAGTTCTCCTGTCTGTCACCTTCCCGTGACTGTCCATCGCCCACAGTTCCCCTGTCTGTCACCCTTCCCGTGACTGTCCATCGCCCACAGTTCCCCTGTCTGTCACCCTTCATTGGACTGTCCATCGCCCACAGTTCTCCTGTCTGTCACTGTCCTGGGATGTCCATCACCCACAGTTCTCCTGTCTGTCACTGTCCTGGGATGTCCATCACCCACAGTTTTTCTGTCTGTTGACCTACGCAGACACTTTGCCATATAAAATCCCATAAGCTTTATGTAGAGATTGTGTTAGTTTATAAACTCTGCCCAGGAGGCTGAGAGGCATGGGCGGAGCCTCTGTTTCACCTGGTGGAGCAACTTCCCATCAGCCCTCTCTCACTTCATCCGCGTCCACAATTCAGAGGCCCATGAGGCGAGCTCCTGCCACAGAGACAGTTCAAGGCCACGGGTGCTGCGGGACTTGCCGTGCGGAGTGGAATCTCAGACATTATCAAGTCCAACTGACTGAAGCCACTGGATTTTCCTTCGCCGCCAGCAGGCCGCTGTGCACATCATTGGTGCCCAGGGACACGGGCGAGCACACGAGTCCACACAGCTCCTACTTAAACGTGTGTCCGACCTGTGGTGTCTGGTCCCAGGGAGCCTTTCCCTTCTCACGGGGCCTGGATGCAAGCCTACGTCGTCATCAGTGAGAAACAGGTCACTTTGTCCTCAGGAAAAAGTCAGTTCCAGTTACTCTGTTGGTTTCCCAGAAAATAAAAGGTGCTTCAAGTCAGAAGTAAACTAGTGACACATTCACTTCTCTTTACCACTTTTGGAGGATCTGTGTTATAATAGATCGTTCCTACAATTCTTCAAGTCTGCCAAAATAAGTCGTTTTAGACCAATCTGGGGTGTGGGTTAATTCCCAGAAGGCACCGCTGCAACGTTAAAAGAAGACGTAACTTCCCAGGGTCTGCACTGTTGCTTTGGTACAAATGTCCACCTCGTATTCACTCATTGCGCATGAATACTATAACTCCCAGATATTCACAAGATGTTTCTAACTTTCTTTTTACATTGACCCTGGCAAGGTTTCATACAGTTGGGTATAGAAAACACTAACTTTACTATTATACTAAATGGCCCTAGCCGATTTGGCTCAGTGGATAGATCATCGGCCTGCGGACTGAAGGGTCCCGGGTTCGATTCCGGTCAAGGGCACATACCTCCATAGCAGGCTCCTCCCTGGCCCTGGCCCTGGGCCTGGTTGGGGCGCATGCAGGAGGCAACCAATCGATGTGTTTCTTCACAGTGATATTTCTCTCTGTCTCTCCCTCTCTCTTGTACTCTCTCTAAAAATCAATGGAAAAATATCCTCAGGTGAGGATTAAAAAATAAATTAAAAAATATTATACTACATAAAAACAACAACAACAGTTTTGTGATAAGATTAACGAACAGCATAGAGACATGAATGATTCACTGTCCCCTTTGGATAGTGTTTGACTGACATACAAAAATACTTTAAAAAGTCCTGCTGATACACCCTCTCCCGGCACTCCCCACCTGCCACGCTCAGTGCCGGGTGGGCACGCTGTCACTCTCCCCTTCTGCACTGGAGGTGCAGACACGGAGGCACAGAGAGGGTGAGTGACCTGCCCAGTTCACACAGCCCGTGAGCGTCCGAGCCCGGATGGGAGCAAAAGCTCTCTGCTCCCCATACCTGGCCCTGGAGCCAATACTTTACACAGAAAAGCAAACACAGAGGAGAAGGAATGTAACTCTTGTTTTTACTTTCACGTTTGAAAGTTAATAGCTTTATATAAGGGGTATTTATTTTATTTTTTTTGTCAAATGAACTCTAATGGAAAAGACCCTTATTAACCCAATTTGCACATATTCATGAAGTCATTAACCGAGTCCTCGCCGATGGATTAAGGAGGAAGAGCAGCAACAATCACCCCAGAAGCGGTGTCATACGGAAACCCTGCAGCCCCCCACCCCCCTTCCCACTGTGGCGTCTCCCCTTCTCCATCCAGCGCCACCGGGCCCGTCCAATCCAGCCTTAAACATTCCCACACCCCACATTTTCCTCCGAACCCCCTGCTTTTCACTTCCCCCTTTTAACCGGTGGTGTGTCCTTCCTGCTTCTGCAGGGCTCCCTGAGTGGCTGGCGTCTGGGGGGCCTGGCAACGTGCCCTGTTGCAGGAGATGGTTTTCAGCACTTGAAGGACAGGGACCGAGCAGGAAAGGACGCGGGGAACAGAGGATGAGACAAGCAGCCTGGGAGACGTGGGTTCTCTCCTCCTTGCCCTGGGGCTGGGCGGAGGCGATGAAATGTCTGCCAGCAACGGGGCTTGTCACTCAGCACCTGGGGCATCGGGGAATCCTATCTGCTGGGGGAGGACGGAGGCCCCCTCCCCCTGGGCACTCAGCACGGCCTGGCCACAGCTCCACGCGGGACAGGGGCGGGAGGGGGTGCCCTCCGCTGGGACAGCGCCCACACCTCACGCCACTCCGGTGAGTGGATATGAAGTCCGTGTGGTTTAAGGGCCCTTGGAAGCAGGTAACGGTGCACTGTGTCATGCTGATGGGGAGGAACTTAACCTTCAAGGATGCACACACATGTATCTGTAGCTTTCCCACAGCTTCGCGGAGCAGGGCTTCTTCCGTGTTGTCGTTAACACCAGCACGCAGAGGTGACGAGGTCTGCTCGCGGGATAGAACTGAACTGTCTTCTCTGTCTCTTCCTCGATGAACTGACCCTGTGTGTGACGTGCACCTTGTGCCGTGGGCTCCCCGGAGGGGACACGTCCTGGCTACAAAGGAGAAACGAGGAGCGAGAGCCTCGATGGGCGTTAACGCCTGGGCCATCGGGGCTCAACGGGCCTGAATAGGAAAAGTAAGTGAAAGCAGCGGCTCCGATCCAGACACTTTTCAGCCCAAAGAGAGGCCTCGCCTGCACGCTCGGGCCGCTGAAGACAGAAGAGCGAGGCTGCGCGCGCTGAAATCCTCCCGGTTCCCCGCCCGGGAGTGGAGGCGGCCTGCAGACCCGCGTGCTTTCCGCCTGCGCAGCCAGAGCTCCGTGGGCAGACGTGGCTCCTGGGGGCTCTGGAGAAGGTTTGGGAAACCAGGTCTGTTTTCCAGCGGGGAGCTGGGGTCCTTTGCCTGCGCAGACATACGACACCCCGACTCTCTCCCTGCTAAATGCCCTTGAACATGAGCCATCACCGGGTTCATCAGCTGCTCTAAGCACCCACTTCCTCCATCCCTGGGCACAGATGACGTGTTCCAGAGCAGGAGGGCACGAGCGTTAAAGAAAAGCCAGTGAGGCGTCGCCACCCCCGTACCCCGATAAATCATGGGGGCTCTCCGTGGGCACAGGTAAGGCCGCTTTGGGTAGAGGAGCTGCGGTTGTGAGACTTAAAGACGCCTTTGCCTGGGATATTTTAACCCGGCAGCGACCCCACGGAGGCACATGCTGCGGGGAATCTGGAAAGATGGGGTCCCCCCCCCGCCTCAGGGTGCGGAGAGCGGCGGACAGCAGGGGTTCCCCTGAGACAGGCTGGGACACACCACCGGGCTGCTTCTGTCCCTACGATGAGATAGTCGCTTTCCAGCACCCGCTTTCTCTATGCCAGTGGTCGGCAAACTGCGGCTCGGCAAACCGCGGCTCGCGAGCCACATGTGGCTCTTTGGCCCCTTGAGTGTGGCTCTTTCACAAAATACGGACTTCTGCACATGGGCCACGAAGTTCAATTGCACTGTATGCGCTCCCGCACGTGGTATTTTGTGGAAGAGCCACACTCAAGGGGCCAAAGAGCCGCATGTGGCTCTCGAGCCGCGGTTTGCCGACCACGGCTCTATGCAATGCTACACATGTCAACGCTGATGTTCAGACCATAAGCGTCTGTTTCCGGGGGTGAAGCCGGCAGAGGGGAGACACATCCGTCACCTTCTGAGAACCTGGGGGGTGGCTGAGACGTGAGGGCCCGGGACCGCCGTGGCTGGATGGAGACGGAGAGAAGCCGGCCTGGCGTCAGGGTCGGGAGGCACGTGGGGCCGAATGAGTGATGGCATCGCCACGGACATGTTTCCAGTCACTAGGCAGAGACAAGTCCTGTATTTGTTGCTAAGGAACAGGAGGTTGACTTTTGCTTGAGCTGCAATTGAGTGTTTTATTGACCTGTGCTCCCCCATACCCCACCCACATCATTTTAAAGGCATAAGCATCGAGTTTAAAGCTTTAGCTCTTACTTTACAAACTAAAGGAAGGGGAGGGAATTAGAAAGGATGGCCGTTCCAATCGACCAAATAGCACTGAGGCTACACAATCACTCACTATCGAGCGTTTCCCAAAGGGAAATGACATTTACAAACTGTGACCTCGACTACCTGACAGTTTAAGAACAGTGTCCTCTCTGATTACCTTCCCACGCACCCTCCCCCCCCACCGTCCCTGTCACTGTGCCTTCTGCCTCCGCTGCCCCCAATGCCAGACGCAGTCACCCCCAGTGGAGAGGGCTCCTCCACGGGTTTGAGGAAGCCCCTTCTCTCTCTTTGTCCCTGGATGCTAGCAGTCTTGGCCACAGCGAAGCAGCACAGTGATCCTGGGCTCGGCTGCCCAGCTCTCGAGGCCCCGTCTCCCCCAGAATCGGTCCGGATCGTCCGTCCGTCCATCCGTCCACCTGCTTCTGACCCTGACCATCGCTCTCCCCCGTGTGAGCGGCTGCCAGCAGCCACGCCCCCTCTTACCTGTGTGGTAAAACTTCCCTGAAAATCCAAGGTTGAAGGTAAAATTGGCAACCTGAGTGCGCAGTAAGGTTTGAGTCTCTAGTAAGGCCTGAAATAAACAAGAAATTAACACGGTTTTAGAAAAATCAGTAGGAAGCTCCGGGGTGCCTCTTTTTCAAAGGCGTCGGCACGAGGGAAACAAAACACGAACTTTGGGGTTTTCGAAGGGGACGGTCACGTGGGGTCCCCGTTTCAGGCCTGGGAACCCCACTGGCTGTCGCTGTGCTGACGGAAGGTCCCCAAACTCAGAAGCAGCGCAGGCAATTCTCGAACACACAGCGCTGACATCTGCGTTCCCTTTGGGGTGAGATTTCTCCAACTCTAGATTATTACTAGGGGCCCAGTGCATGAAATTCATGCATGGAGTGGGGGGTCCCTAAGCCCCACCTGCACCCTCTCCAATCTGGGAGCCCTCAGGGGATGTCCTACTGATGGCTTAGGCCTGCTCCCATGGTTCTCTGCTCTCTGTGGACCTGCCTGCTTGACGCCACCACAGGCCCTGCTGTATGCTCTCTGTGGGGACCCTATGGGGGACTCCTTGCCCCTCGCTGCCACGGCCAGGGGCAAGCAGGGCCCTGCTGTCTGCTTGCTCACTGCAGGGGACGTACCCACCCTGCCCCCAGCTGCTCAGTGCCTGTGCTCATAGGCCCGGAGTGACCAGGGGTTGTTCCGAGACCCCAGCCACTCCAGGCCTACGAGGGGGCCTACAGGCTCAGAGCAGCCTGGGTCCCGAAGACACCCGTACCCGGGAACCAGTCCGCTTAGCGCTGGTGCCCCCACAAGCAGCCACCCCGCCCCTGGCCACTTGGTGCTTGTGTATTCAAATTAACCCACCATCTTTGTCAGGTTAATTTGCATACTCACTTCTGATCGGCTGGTGGGCATCATGAAGTGACAGTCAATTTGCATCTTTCTCTTTTATTAGTGTAGGTACGTATTTTCTTGGGGAAATTTTTACAGAATTACTTGGTAGAGACAAGTCCTGTATTAGTTGCTAAGGAATGGGAAGAGAACTTTTGTTGCAATTGAGCGTTTTAGCTCAGTGTGCTACCTCCCTCGTCATTTTTAAGGGATAATTAGTGAGTTTAAAGCTTTAGATTTTACTTCACAAACTAAAGAGCAACATCAATGACTCCGGATGTTTGACGGCAAATCTTGAGAGAGGACCGGAAGGGGACCCCCAGGAAACAGGTGGCAGATTTCAGAAACAAAAATCTGTAAACATGGCAAAAACTTCTCTACTTTCTCGGTGTGTCGTTAATCCATGTTAACTTCTTGAGGCGACAAGATAATAACTCACGGATGCGAGTCTTACAGTCTGACCGAGCGCTGTCAGTGGCCGCCACCCTCCCAGGGCCATGGGGCTCAGAACCGCCCCCACCCCCCTGTAAGCTGTGAGTGTGCGTGTGGATCCAGATGCTGTTGCTGCGCTGTTATAGGTCTTTAACGAGGACCGCTTTGGTTCCGATGGCAATGAGACACGCATTTCAAACCCTGGATACAGACAGATCCCCAGTAGCTGCTCTTGGGTGCAGGGGCGTGGGGGGAAGAAGGGGACGTAGAGGGTAGAGGGTGAAGTGTGCTGAGCGAGCGCCTGAGGCACAGGCATTTTCTGTGCAGCATCATCGATGCGGCTGAGGACTTGCTTCATAATTTGTGAACCGAGCCCAACCAGCGTGGCTCAGTGAGTGTCCACTCATGAACCAGGAGGTCACTGTTGGATTCCCGGTCAGGGCACAGGCCCTGGTTATGGGCTCCACCCCCAGTGTGGGGCCTGCAGGAGGCAGCCGATTCATGATTCTCTCTCATCACTGATGTCTCTCTCTCTCCCTCTCTCTTCCTCTCTGAAATCAATGAGAAATGAAAAATAAAATAACAAACTTTTAATAAATGTTACTTCTTGGAGCATTTTTTTCCTGCTAAGAAATTACTTAAAACAACTATCAAGTTCTTTTCATTTAAAAAAATGACTCTACTTAAAGGTATAACATGTCCTGACATCTGGTTCTCATTTTGTCTTTTAAGCCCTAAACAGCGGGAACCTCAAAGGCAGTCACGGCTCAATGAAGACACAAACCCCATTCTTCCCAGGGCGCCGCTCCTGTTCTGTGCTGGCTGAACCCCCAGTCCTGTCTCACAGCGCTGGGCACAGCCTGCGGTTCACAGGGGTACCAGGACCCAGGGGTACCCAGGCCACAGGGGTACCCAGACCACAGGGATACCTAGCCCCCAAGGGCACCCGGGCTCCTAGCCTGGCTCGACTCACTCCATCTGGGACGCCCTGGTCACAGGCTGGTGAGCAGCTCTTGGGGGCACAGGTGTCCACTATTAGCTGTACAATCACAATCTCCTTAAATAGTGTGTTGTGGTCCCTGCCAAACGTTTCTTGAGCACACGTTGCTATTCCGTGTCTACGGCTCCGGCTCTTCCGTGGGCCTGGGGAGCATCTATCTGACCGGTCAGATTTCAGGGGCCTGGAGGCGGCAGAGGCGCCTGGCGCGGTGTGGGCAGCCGGGCTGGCCCTCCGGAAATTCTCTCTCAGGGATGGACAGCGGAAGCCGCGCTGTCGAGGGCAGGAACTCGGGACTTCCAAGTCAGATTTCCCCTCTGTAGCCATTTCGTTCCAGATGAGAAAGAAAGAGTCTGTTCCGTGCCTCCCCGCTCCGGGTCTTATTTTGTTGGCCTGTTCATTCTGTTCGTTAGATTCCACAGGGGAGTGAGGTCAAGTGGGACTTGTCTTTCTCGCGTTGGCTTGTTTCACTTGGCACAAAGCTCTCCAAGTCCCTCCATGCTGTCCCAAAGGTAAGAGATCCTCTTTTTTACAGCTGCATGGTGTTCCCTGGTGTAAATGTCCCACAGGCATTTGTGGGGGTGGGGGGACGAGGAGAGATAAACCAAAGAACTTATATACTTATATGCACAGCCCATGGACACCAGCAATAGGGCAGGGAAGACCTGGGGGGTGGGGGGGGTGGGGGCTGGGAGGAGGGGGTTGGGAGAGGTGGGGGACATCTGCAATAAAAAGTATATTTAAAAAGAAAAGAAAAGAAAAACAGCTCTTCCTGGTCAAGCCCACCATCCTGGCCCCCAGATCGATGCCGCACCCTGAGTATTGGGGGGGGGCTACCGGCTTTTGCCCACTTTTTCTGGGCACAGCTTCTTCACTCTGTGAGATTTCATTCACAACTTCTCTCTTTTAAAAAAAATTTTTTTAATGATTTAAGAGAGGAAGGGAGAGGGAGAGAGAGATGATGAGAGAGGATCATTGATCGGCTGCCTCGTGCACGCCCCACACTGGGGATCGAGATCGCAACCTGGGCATGTGCCCTTGACTGGAATTGAACCCAGGACGCTTCAGTCTGCAGGCTGATGCTCTACCCACTGAGCCAAACCAGCGAGGGCCATGGCTTCTCTTTACCTGAAATATAAATGGATTTCAGGTGAAAGTCCACAGGACGCCTCCAGCAGCCTGACTGCTCCGTCTACTGCGGACACATCACTTAGCTGGGCTTGGAAGTGACACCTGGATTCCCAGCGTCACTGCTGACTTCCTGTCCGTGTGCGGCGGGCCCAAGGCTGCGTGTCTTCCTGGCTCCGGGAGTGGAGGAGCCCACCGGCTTCGGTGCCATCTGGGCAGGGCGAGCGGAGGCGAGTCAGGAGAGCGGGTTCCGGCGCAGACACACGTGTGCGGGATGAGTCCGCCCCTGGGATGGTGGGTGTGAGGTGACCGCTGGGAGTGACACTGCCCGGACACAGAGGGCAGGCGGCACACCCAGCACGCCTCACACCCCACGGGGCACGCATCTGTCTTCTGACAAGGAGGGCATCTCGTTGTAAGTATATATTTGGGTGAATCTGTGAATAAACAGGCTGCATCTCATAGCAAATTTGTCATTTGTTACCGGGGTCTACTCCACTAGTGGGGTCCATGATAACTCAACTGTTTAGACTTTTAATGAATTAATTTTAAAATATGTTTTTATTGATTTCAGAGAGGAATGGAGAGGGGGGGAGAGAGAAACATCAATGATGAGAGAGAGTCATTGATCAGCTGCCTCACGCCCTCTACTGGGAACAGTCCGCAACTCAGGCATGTGCGCCTGAAAGGGAATGGGACCGGGACCTCCTGGTTCAAAGCTGAGGCTCAACTACTGAGCCACGCCAGCCGGGCTAATTGTTTAGACTTCTTAAAAGTATCGTTCTATTAGAAAATTGACATATTTGGTAAAAGGACAGGAGTGTCAAGGTAAAAAGTTTATGAATATCCCCTTGAAGGCTTAAAAAACAAAGAATTATTCCCCATCATAGAACTGAAGACACAATGATTCGTTTCCGTGTGGCCGTGGTCAGCAGCGTCCACTCGGTTTTTACAAAGATGAGCTCACTCAGAGGCGAAATGAAAAGGAAGTGTTTGTCCATGAGCGCCTCTACCTGGAGCGACTCCCAAGGCCCAGGTGAGTCTCTGTAAGAAATGGCCCAGCAGCACCGATGGAGCCCCTGCTGTCCTTCAGGCTCCCGGCCCAGGTCCTGCTCACATACCGGGTCCCAGAGAGATTACATACATTTACATACATGCAGTCTGCACGTGAGAACGTTTCTGCTTGATTTTCATGCTATTTCACCGTATCTGAATAAACCTGGATTAAATTGTTCATGATCAGCTTTATAAACCTTTGGGAATTTTTCGTGCAATGTGTAGTTGACCATTTTGCAAGCACACATTCAGATACAGCTATCTTTTTTTTAATATAAATAACATTTATTTTATTTTTTTAATATATGTATTTTATTGTTGATAGCATTACAGATGTCACCCATTCCCCCCCCTTCTTCCAGGCCCTAGGCACCCCACAAGTCTTCCCCCCCTATTGCCCGTGTCCATGGGCTATGCACATCTATATATATAAAAGCCCAAGCGACCAGACAAACAACTGGTCGACCAGTCGCTATGACATGCACTGACCACCAGGGGACAGATGCTCAATACACAGGATCAGGCTCCCTCCTGTCTGGATCGGGCCTGCAGGGATTGGGCTGAAACTGGCTCTC